TTGGAGGAGGCTGGGGTGCGGGCGCCCCGCACAGCCAGCCCGCTGGGCAGCCGCGCCGCCATCGCCGCACGGATGCTGGGGGTGGCGTGGGGGCGGAAGGGCAGCTGCCCGACCTCCTGCCTGCCGCCAGTTGCGGGGCCGGCAGCGTGCCGCGGCCCATGCCCCGCCGTCGATGCCCCTGCCGCCGCTGCTGCTGGGCGTGAGGCAGGCTGCCAGGCCGGCGCCTGGTCTGCGGCGGCGCCTGCGGCGGCCGCGGCGGCCAGCAGGGGCAGCAGCGGCCCCGTCTCAGTCAGAAGGCCATCGCCGCCGTCGGGCTGTGGCGGCTGCATCAGCGCCTGCCCCGCCGGCGCTTGCAGCTGCAGGCTGTGCCTGCTGTCATCGGTTAGGGCGGGCCAGGGCCCGGGGCTGGGCAGGCCGGGTGAGGGTGGCGACGGCAGCGGAGACTCGCCGCCGGCGCTGCAAGCGCCGCCCATAGCCAGCGGCATCAGTGCGGCGACAGCCGCCGACAGCAGCGGGTGGGGCTGTGCGCTGGCGCCGGGATGGCCCGCCAGCAGCAGGCAGGGGGAGGCGGTGGGCGGTGCAAAGGCGGCGCTGCCTGCCGTGGGCGGCCAGGCCACGGCGGGAGGCGTGCGCACACCAGGACCCGGCGTGCACCTGTCCAGATGCTCGGCGGCGCCGAGCTGCTGGGCCAGCCAAGCTTGCAGCCCCCCCTGCTGCCCGTCTGCTTCAAAGGCCGTCCCCCTCTGCTCACTGGCGTCTGCCATAGCTGCTGCTGCTCTGGGTCGGCCAGCCGTGGACTAGGTGCAGCTCCGGGCAGCTTGCAGGCCGCCTGCAGGCCTGGTGAGCGCCCTGGTGGTGTGCTGGTCACGAAAGCGGGGCTCCCAGGGGGCTGTGCAGTCCCCCAGGCTGCAGGGAGGCTTCTGGGTCCCGCTCCTCAGCTGCAGGGGCGCAGGCCTGAGCAGCTATGGAGCTGCATACGTGGGAGGAGATGGAACGACACAAGAAGGGAGATTGGGAGTGTGTTGCCAAGACACGTCAGAGGGGTGGAAATGAAGCCCCAGAGCTTGCAGCTGCCTTGCCTTGCTTGCAGCAGGCAGGGGAGATATGATCAGTGGCAATGCAAGACCCTTGTGCTGCGCATGCCGCATGCCGCCGCCGCCGCCGCCGCTGTGTCGCTGTCGTCCAAGGTCGTTGTGCACCTTCTGGACTGCGGCCCTTGCTGCACAACGACATTCTAATATTGCCGGGTGTTAATTACGGCGCTGGCCATCGCCAGCTGCAGCTGTCGGTGTCGAGGTCGCAAGGATCACGGCGATGCCGCCGGAAGGCCTGGCCTGGCAGCCGCCGCCCTGAGCCAACCGCGTGCTGGATGGCAGCGGCAGCGGCGGCGGCGAGCGCTGGCCTGCGGTGCCTGGCAGGCGGCGGGTGCCCGGTCGCCTTCTCCTCCGCCCCCGCTGGTTCACCAAGCTGGACATCGGCAGCGAATAGCGCGCCACTGTAAGGAGCCACCGATCGTCGATAAAGACAGCAGGCAGCGCAGCTTACACGAGGGCGACTTCGCTTATCAGTAGAGTATGGCAAGCATGTGCATATTCAGCATCACAAAGAGAAAAGTGTAGATGAAACTCACTGGCGGCAGCATGATGGGAGCGAACCGGCCTGAGGTGAGACACTCCGTCAGTTCGTGCCAGCTGGCAACCGACAGCAAAGTGCGAATCGACAGCAAAGTGCGAATCCAAAGCTGGAAGATGAATGTGACACAGAGCAGGGCGGCGATGCCCTCTAGCACAGACATGGTGCGCTTGCGAAGAGGCATGGCCTGGAGAATCGGAATGCCGAGATGGGGCGCGCAAAAAGCCAGGAATGCTGCCACTCTGCCAGGAAGGCTGTCGGCAGAAATATTGATGGCTTTCAGCTGCGACATACAGCCCGTTACCAAAACGTCCAGAAGGGTCATACGAAAATCGAGGTTGTTGCTCAGGTCCAGCACAAGAAGCTTCTTGGCAGTCCGCAGCGAGGTTGGCAGCGCCCCCCGCAGCATGTTGTCGTTGAGAGCCAGGATTGACAGGCCTGCACAAGGCAGATTGCTTTGAACCTGTCAGATGCATGAGCAGATGCAGGGTGCACGGCTGCACGCCACTCGTGCACCCGACATACCTGCAAGATAAGGCCCCCTGGGCAAAGTAGTCAGCTGGCAATTGGTGCATTTCAGAGACAGAAGGCTGCTGATCTGCACATGACTGGTGGGCAGGCCGTGGGACAGGTCGCAGCTCTTAACAATTGCGAACTGCAGGGTGGGCATGCTGCCGAGCAGTGCATCCAGCGCCGAGCCCAGCTGATCGCCTCCCGTGGCATGAGCATCGGAAATGAAGACTTTAGTGACGCTGGATGCCATCTGGCCCAGGCTGAGAGCCGTCGACTGTACGCTGCAGGAAAGCAGCATGATGGAGGCCAGGTCGCCGCCCGCCAAGCCCAGAGTGCGCAACACTGCGGGCAGGAGCCCCGCGCTGTCCAGGGCTGCGGTACTCAGGTGGAAGCCCCAGCCATTGACAGAGCTGTCAGACCGGCGCTCCACATCCAGAAGCATATTCCCCTGCTGATGTTTGGAAGAAAGCGTGGCCCCAGACACCTGGAGGTGCAGCAGGTTTTGAACGCATGCCCTGGCATTTCAGTTTGATGCACCTTGGTGCAGGAGAGAGTGCAGAAGAAAGGCCATCAGGGACTCACCTGAAAATGTCGTGCAATATAGCTCATCGCCTTCAAGGCTGGAAAGGCTGTCACGGGCAGCAGCTGCAGGCCAGTATCGCCGGCACTAGCCTGCCGCATGGTCAGCTTTTGCAGCCGTGTCAGCGCTGTGAGTGGTTGTGTGGAAGGCAGCTCCGCATCGCTCTTCAATGTGAGGCCCGTCAGGTGCAGCAAACAGCTCGCGACACCTTCGTGCAGCAACAGCGCTGGCAGGTGTTGCGCAGATAGCGTCAGCTGCTGCAGGCTGCCAAGCTGCTGCAGCACAGCAGTGCTTTCCTCCCGCAGCGGGAAGGGGAGCACACTGAGGTCCAGCGGCCGCAGCCGGGTGCAGCACACAATGCCGTGGGCAGCCGCTGGCGAGAGCTCTGCCTTTTGGCTGAAGGTCAGGCTTGTCAGGGCGGCTGGATCCAGAGCACCAACCAAGTCTGCCAGCTGCATTCCGTCTGGCAGGGCGTGCGCTGACGCTGCTTCAACGCCGATTGGAGGCCCCTCAAACTGAGCTGCTCGGACCGCGCCACGCACACGCTGCAGCAGCGCCAACTTGCGGTGCCACCAGTTGTCCTCTGCGCTGCCAAGCTGTCGAGCATCCTTGCCGAGGACTGCCACCTGCTGCCACAGCCCAGGCTGACTGTAAACCAGGCGGTGCTTGCACACGAGCGTGACAGATGGCCCGGCTTGCTGGCCTGCCAGCTCAAGGATGCGCCCCTGCAGCTCCTCGGGCAGGGACTGCATGCTGGGCGGCATGGCCTGGAAGCTGAACGAGGGAATAGGTGCTGCCCTGCAGGCGGGGGCAGGCGACGAGCGGCGGCAAGTCGGCGGCGGGCGCCGCAGCTGCACCAGCACCACCAGTGGCAACCAGCGCTCTGCCCAGCAGCTGGCAGTGCATGCTTGGAGCTCTGTGGCACAGGATTTGCACAGCCCTGGCGCAGGGCGAGCAGGCCTATCCCCACTCACCAGGCCGATCGTGCCTGTTTCTGCCACCTTGGCCGCTCTCTAAGGAGAGGGGTGGCCTGCTGGGCAGGTCTGCTCGGTTGGGGCTGGATGGAAGACGTCAGGATGAGCGAGGCTGCCAAGTTAACCTCCTGCCTGCCAGGATATTGTGCCCTGGCAATAAAGGAGGGGGCAGAACAGAGTGGTAGGTGTGCTGCACCAGCACTAGGGCGAGAGGTGGAAAGCAGCAGCCAGCCACCACAGCCGCCGCCGTTGCTGCGTTGAGGGTTCCTTCCTCAAGTTCATGTGGCACTAGGAATTACACCTCGTAGCGCAGCGACAACGAAATGTAAATGAAACGGTGCGATGTGATCAAATGCACAGCGGCAACTGGGCAGGAACTCAATTCCGCCTCGAGCGGTGCCCGACTTGGGGCAGGCAAACAGGCAACAGCAGGATGCGAGAGTGTTACGCAATTGGGATGTAGTGTACACAGACGATTGCCTAAGGAACAGCGAAAGATCGACTCGAAAAGCAGCATACTGGGCGAGGCGAGCGCGCCCGCCGATGCAAGGATTCATTCGGCGCGGCGGCCATGGCCAGGCTGTGTCAGGCCATGACGGAAGCCTTGGACTCCACCACCTTGGACTGGCTGCCCGGCGGCAGCAGCGCCGAGGGCGACTTCCACCGCCGCGTGCTGAGCTTGGAGGAGGTCCAGGAGGCGGCGCCACCGGAGATCACATACACCTTGCTGAAGCCGCGGGCGCGCAGCTGCTTGGCAACTGCGGCACGGGAGGGGGAACGTGTGGAGGGGTTCGGCGCCATGGCTGTCTCGCCGGGAGCGCATTCACCGGCCATTGGCCATTCCACTCTGGAGCGGCCTGGTCAGCACACCCACCTGCTTTGGCGGGGCCGGAGCCCGCTTCGTCCATGAGGTACAGCACAGCGCCGCGGTTGAGCCTCTTGAGCGCCGCAATCTGCACCGCGGTGGACTGCAGGCAGGCAGGCAGGCAGGCAGGCGGCGGGAGGGGAGCAGGCCAGACGCTTGGTCCAGCACATTGCCGAGCGCGACATGCACCAGGAGCGCACGCAAACTGCAAGCAGTCCGACTGTCGTCGTCCATGCAATCCATGCAAGAGGCGCAGCCTCCCTGCCCGCAGCAGTGCTGCGGCGAGCGGTGTGCACACCGCTTGCCCACACAGGCAGACTATCTGTTTGCGCGGGCAAGCAAACTGTATGCCTGTACACGCACGAGAGCACCGCACTTGCACCCACCTCAGCGCAGACGCCCATGGGGTTGCGCAGGTCGTCATCCGCCCCCTCCAGGCTCACATACTCCAGCTCCACCAGCTTGTCTGCAGGTGGGAGGGAGACGTAGGTGGGCAGGGGGCGGGTGAGGCTGGCTGGCTGGCACCGCGGAGGGGAGAGGCCCTGGACGCTGCTGCACCCGTACAGGCCAATTTGCGCATTGCAGCCTGCAAGCCACCACCGTGCCGAGGCTGACGCCTGCCCAGCCTGCCCAGCCCGGCGCCCAGCAACGGCAACCACAAGGCCGGCAGCCCAGGGTGGCGGCGTGGCGCACCATTGTCCGGAAGGTCTGGCACGCCGTTCTTCTCCTTGTCTGCCGCCGCCCGGATGTCCACCAGCATGCTGCTGCCGTCGGAGGCCAGGCAGTCCAGGGCGGAGGTGGGCAGCACGTCGCCTGCACCGGGCAGCGCACAGGGTGCGGTGCGTGCTCAGGTGCCGAAACACACGCCTGTCCGCCGGGCACGCGGGCGCCGCGCTCCAAACGCTGGCGCCTTGCGCAGCGCGGCCTGCCTGCCGGTCAGCAGCGGCAGCAGCACACGCAAGCCGCAGGCCTACACAGCAGCAGGAGCAGCAGGAGCAGCAGCAGCAGCGGCAGCAGCGGCGGCAGCCCATTCACGCTGCGCTGGCCCCCACCAGCGCCGCACCCGAGTATCCGCGCGCCGCGTTCAGGCCTGCCTTGGCCAGCGGGGGCGTGAGGTAGGCCACCACGATCGCTGCCAGCGCATCCTCGGCCAGCACCGAGGGCTCGGTGGTGGTGAGGAAGGCGTAGGCGGTCTGCGCAAAGGAGGTGGCGGTGGCCGCGCCGGCCGCGGCGGTCGCCGCCACCGCGGCCGCATCCACGCCCGACGACTCCAGCGCCGTCACCGTGGCCTCCTGCACCGCCGCGGTGGCCGCCGCCAGCGCTGCCAGGATGTCGACGTCTGCGCCGGCGCTGGCTGCAGCCGCAGACGCCTCCTTCATCGCCACCGCCGCCTCGGAAACGGCCGCCGCCACGGCGCCGTCTGGGGCGGACGCCGCGGTCACCGCCGCCTCTGCATCCTTGAGCGCGGCGGTGGCCTCTGCTACCGCCTCGGCCAGCGTGGAGTTGGGAGCGTCCTTCACAGCCTCTGCCACCTGCTCCACAGCTGCCTCGGCGGCCTGCACCGCCGAAGTGACTGCCGCCTCGGCAGCAGCCGCATCGACGGCTGCCTCGTCAGCGCGCGCGGCGCCGGCCACGGCGCCCAGGCTGGCAGCCACACCGGCCAGGCTCACTGCAGGCAGCAGGCCAGTGGGGGACATGGGTGCAGCATGTCGATGCCAGCTGCTGCCAATCGTTTGCTCCCCTGTTGGGGGGTAGGGAGGGAGGCTGGCGCGGTGCGCCTGAAGCTCCATGTGGGTGCCCATGTGGTCTGTGTGGACCAGCCCGCCCAGCTTGCCTGCCAATCTTTCATCCAGTGTGGCACGGGGAGGCACAGCGCGGGTAGGCAAAGCGCGGGCCGCAGCCCTGCCAGCACCATGGGAGGGGGCGGTGCTCTGGGGCGCTGCCCGCAGGCCCGCCAGCCTCGTAGCGGTGAGTGCGGCCATAGCTGCAACTTTTGTGATCAAAGGGAGGCTGATTGAATGCTCGAGCCGGAACCTCCAATTCCACCCACCGTGCGACGAGTGCTGTGCTGAGCAGGAGGCGCGGAGATGGAAGGGGCACGACTGTTCGGCAGCAAACCTGTTCAGGGAAGTGCTCATACACAGCAAAGGCGACACTCTGAGCTGTGGACTTCATGGCGTAATGGGTTGGCCACATGTGGACATGGCCGCGCGGGAGCGGCCGCCGTGTCGCTGTACCTTGCCATCTCAGTCCCGTGGCGCTCCCTGAGCGTGCTCTCTGGAAAATGTGACAGTGGACAGACCTGCGCAGATGCCGATATTTGTTACAAGGCAACATGCACCGGCAGCGTTGCCGCCCGCCCCGTCCATACCGTCACACGGTGTGCGCCCGCCCGAGGCGCAGGCAATATCTATCGTTTGCGGTTCATGAGCCTCACTCCCGCTCTTTCGGTCTGCTCAGATGTCCCCAATTGCAACATTTTACTTTTCTCGGATCGTGGGAGCGTCCACCCTGCCGACTAGGCCGGGGGGGAGAGAGGCGAGGGTTGGCGACTCCATTCAGAGCGACTCCGTTCAGACCTTTGTGAAACAAGGAAGACAGGAGGCTGTGTGTGCGGCGGGCCCTTGCGAGCGTCTGCACACGATGAGCCAGAACAAAGACAAGGGGAGCAGCCAGGCCCTGTGGGTTCACATAGCGATCACCTACGGGTGAGCAACCCGCGGGTGCTGCGGCAGCGAGTTGTGATGGAGCCGGCTGCCGCTGGCGACTGGCGGGGGCCCATTGGGCGCGCGGACAGCAGCCCCCGCCTGCTTGTGAGGGCCGCCCAAGGAGCAAGCAGGGCTCGAGCGACCCGCCCGACAGCCGGCAGTAGGGCGGCCGCCACCTGCCGCCTGTGGTCCTGCTGCCGCTGCCGCTCGCCTCCGCCAAGCGCCCCTCGGTGCTGCCCTGAGCGCAGGTATGTGTTCCTGTGGATCACCCTGAGCGCGGCAGTAATCCTGTACAACAAATGGGTGCTGGCATACTACGGTGAGCTCCCTATAAACACCCGGAAAGCACGGCCTGCATGTCGAGGGTGGCTCCTTGGCGTGCAGTGCCTGGTTGTGGCGGCTGCCATCCTGTTTGCATCGCAGCCGCTTAATGGAGGCTGAGACTAGCTGCGGCGGCCGTCTGCTGCCGAAGCAAGCCGCCCGCTTGTGCCAACTGGCCCTGACCGCTCGCCCCTGTTCCCCCCACTTGTGCGCAGCCTTCCCCTACCCCATAGCGCTCACAATGTGGCACATGTTCTTCTGCGCCGGCCTGGCATCGCTCATCATCAGGGCCGGATATGTTGAGCCTGTGAAGATGAACGCAGGTGCGGATGGGGTGGCACCTGACGAGAACTGGATGCCGTCCGCCGAGGCAGGCGCCTGGCCGAGGCGTGGAGCGGTGCACATTCGCTCATGGCGTGTCTGCGTGCCCTGCGTGGGGACTGTGCTGCAGAGACGTATGTGCGCACCATCGTGCCCATCGGCTTCCTGTACGCCGGCACCCTCTGGCTGGGCAACGCCGCATACGTCTACCTGTCAGTCTCGTTCATCCAAATGCTCAAGGTGGGTGGGTCATGCCGCGGCAGGCTGGCTCGTGGCTGGGCCAGGAGGGCTGGAGGCACCCAGGTCTGCACTGCATCCACGCTTGCCTGCCTGTTTCTTCTCAACTGTGGTGGCAATCCTGCGGTGCAGGCGTCCATGCCCGTGGCCGTGTTTGCGGTAGGGTGCATGTTTGGCACAGAATACTTCACCATCCGTGAGTTGCCCACTGTCGGCCAGCCAGCCAGCTGCTCGCCTCGCCAGGGCAAACTGCGCTGCTTTCAATGCCAAGAAGCCGCCAGCTCCTCCTGCTCACTTGCATTGCTCCCTCTGCCCTGCCCTCCTGCCCCGGCCCTGCAGCGCGGCTCCTCAACATGCTTGTCATCGGCACCGGCATCGCCATCGCCTCGTACGGCGGTGAGCAACGTTGGTGGCAGTGCTGCTGGCGTGCGCCGCAGGGCTGTGGAACAAAGCGTGTGGCAAACCGTCTCTGTCCTATCCCTGGGGAAGCACTGCGGTGCTGCCGGCTGTCGCTGGCCCGCTTGCTGACCCGCCCGCTGGCGTGGCATGCCGCCCCCTGGCGCCCTGCAGAGATCAACTTCATTTGGATCGGGGTGGTGCTGCAGATGTCCAGCGTGGCCACAGAGTCCATGCGCCTCACCCTGGTGCAGATCCTGCTGCAGGCGAGCATGGCTGGATGTGGCAGACTGTGGGTGGAGTGCGGTGCTGGTGGCTGGTGGCACAGCCCTGCGCCGGAAGCGGAAGCGTTGATTCTGCCGCTCATCACCTTGATTCGCCCGCACTCCCCCTTCCTGCCCCTGTCCTCCCCCATGCTCCCTCTCTGCAGCGCCGCGGCATCAAGCTCAACCCCATCACAACCCTCTACCTCATCGCCCCCTGCTGTTTCGCCTTCCTCTGCGTCCCCTTTGTGAGCGCCAGGCCGCGGTTCTGCTACTCCCACCCGCCGCCTCCCTGTCCCTGCCCGGCTGCCAATTTTGCAGCGTGGACACAGTGCTCTATGCGTCTACATCTCCGTGCTTATTCCCACCTCTTGACCCACACCCCCGACACTGGCCCCTGTCCTGCCAGGCCTTCATCGAGCTGCCCAAGATCATCAACGACACCAGCGTCAAGCTGAGCCCCTTAATCTTCCTCACAAACGCGGGGGCCGCCTTTGGTGAGCCTCGGTGGACGCCTTCCGCGCTGCTTCTGCTGCGCTGCTGCGGAGCCTGCTGCGGCCTCCACCATCCCCGCCGGGCCTGCCATCCCCTCCGCCCCGTCCCCGCTTGCCAACTGCGCGCATCGCAGGCCTCAACATGGCCGTCTTCCTGCTGATCGGCAAGACGTCTGCGCTGACCATGAACGTGGCGGGGGTGGTCAAGGACTGGATCCTCATCCTCCTCTCATACCTCATCTACAAGTGAGCCGGCCGAGCTGAGGGCTGTGGGGAGCCAAGAGGGGGCAGGGGAAGGGGCATGCAGTGGGCGGGGAGAGGCGCGCTGGGCACGCAGCCCAGCAGGTGTGCCCGCCTGCGTCGATGGCCCCTGAAGTTTCACGCATGCGCTCCCTCGCCTGCTACCGCAGGGCGCCGGTGACGGCGATGAACCTGGAGGGGTATGGGCTGGCGTTTGCGGCAGTGTGCTTCTACAACTTTAGGAAGCTGCAGGAGATGCAGGCGGCGTCCAGGGCGCCGGCGGCGTCAAGTGTGAGCCCGCCGGGACGGGCATGGGGCTGGGTGGGGGTGATGAAACCGTGGTGCTGTTGCTGCGCATGCAGGCCGTTGTGTCTCTAACTCCTGTCCACATGCGAGCGCTGTGTCTCTTCGCCTTCCCCGGCCTGCAGAAGAGCGGCGGCATCAGCATGGTGCCAGTGCAGGACGAGGAGTCAACACGCCTGCTGCAAGACAGCAAGATGGGCGGCACCAGCAGCAGCACAGCCCTGGCGGGCTCGGGCGGCACGCCGCTGAGCAGCAGAGGCTAGCGACAGTCGGCGCCCATGCCGCTACTGGCACCTGCGCATGCAGTCCCCTGTTTCCCCGGATTCAATTGCTACATGTTGCTCCTGCTTCACGCCCTGCTCAGTGCCTGTGGACGGCAGGCTTCCCTCTGCTGGGCAGCCTTGCCCGCTGCTGGGCGTATTGCTGTCCAACCCCTGTGTTGTCTGTGCACCTTTGTTGTCGCCTGCGCAGTACCCTGGCCTGGCGTGCCATGTATTTCAGTTTCAACACCTGCTGCTCATTCTTTCGCCACCGTTCCAGACATGCAAAGCACAACATGTAAGGCGGACTGCATGATGTATCTCTCTCTTTTCCTCGCACACAAGGCAGCAAGCTCTGCACTCCTTATCTGCTGCGCAGCTGCATCCGCCACCCCTGGCGCTGCCTACTCCAGCCCGCATGCGGCCAAGAAGCTGCGGCGTGGGTTGGCATTGGAAGGGAGCTCCACATGCTCCCAGCAGTCGCTGGTCGGGTTGTAGGACTCAAGCAGGATGGCGTGTGTCTGCAGAGAGAGGTGGGGCCAGCAGCGGGCAGATGTGGGGCGGTGGTGGCGTAGGCAGGGGGTGGGAGGCAGCATGCTCTGGGAGGCGTGCTCTGGAGCGCAAGCAGAATGGACAGGCATGGCAGCAGAGGTGCAGCAAGGCCTCTCGCTGCCTGGCGCCACAGGCCCGCCACATGCCCTGGCCCCAAGCCGCACCTGCATGTCGCTCTGCAGTCCGCCCACCGCAAACACAGTGGAGCCCAGCACGGCACAAGAGCCATAGGCGCGGGCATCAGCCATGTCTGCTATCGAGCGCCAGGCGTTCATCTGCAGGCACAGGGCCGGCGAGAGGGAGAGGGAGGTGAGCCAGGAGGTGGGTGGGCAGGGTCCGTGCATGAACCAGCATGCTGGGGCCAAGCCGGCGCAACCATCAGCGAGCGCTGGGTCTGGCCGGTGCTGTGCATGTGTGCATGCCCTGGGCTTGGCCACGCATCCAGCGAGCAGCCTGCACCCCCGCCAGCTCCGGCGGCGCCTCACCCGCGGGTCAAACACCTCGCAGTGTGGAATGGCCTGCACGCTGTTGAAGCCGCCCAGGGCATACAGCCGGCCGGCCACCGCCGCCACCGAGTGCCCGCCGCGCTTGCTGGCCATCGAGCCAGGCAGCGCCTCCCAGCTGCACAGGGCACAGTGGGGCAAAGGGGCGACGGGCATGGTGTGTGTGTGTGTGTGTGTGTGTGTGTCGGTCGGTCGGAAACCAGGCAGCACCGCCTCGCTTCCACCATCACAGCATGCATAGAGCATGGCGTGCATGCGCCCGCTGGCTGCCCCAACAACACACACGCACGCGCCACACGCTGTCACCAGCCCCAGGCCGCCTCACCGGTCGCTGCGCGGGTCTAGCCGCTCTGCGCAGTCGAGGTAGGACACGCCGTCGTAGCCGCCCACAGCATACATGACGCCGTCTAGCGCCGCGCCGCCCAGCGCAAAGCGTTTGCGCGACAGCGGCGGGCCGGGCAGCCAGCGGTTGGACTGAGGGTCGTACCTGCGGGTGGGGGGAGGGGGCACACAGGCGCAGCGTGGGGCTGCGAGCGGCACAAGAAGCTGGACATCTTGTATACAGCTGCTGTGGACTTGGGCGGTGGAAAGGCCCGCGGCACAGCAGGAGCACAGCAGGGGAGGCTGGCGAGTACGCGTGCACGCCAGGGCCAGGGCAGATGGCAGTACAACGCCTCACCACTCCACCACATTGTACTGCTCCTTGGGCTTGCCGCCGCCGTAGGCAAACAGGTAGCCGTTGGCCACCCCCGCCGCCAGGCTGCCGCGCGCCACCTGCAGCGGCGCCAGCTCCACCCAGCCGCCCATGAGCCCCGCCTGGCGGTCGTACCGCACGACGCTGTCAAACCACTCCACGCCGTTGCCGCCGCCCGCCACAAACACTTCGGCGGCTGCAGGGAGGGCAGGGTCAGGGCGGGACAGAGCAGGCGGGTGGGCATAGAGGCGAGTGTGGCAGGTAGGTAGCGAGGACAGCTGGCAGGTAGGCTGGGTGGGTGGGTGAGCTTGCAGGACAAGCAGCACAGGGATTGAGTGGGCGGCTGCAGCAGCGGCACGGCCCGCACCTGTGCCGACGGCGGCGGCAAAGCTGCGTGGCTGGCCCAGCAGGGGCAGGCTGGCCCACACACGCTCGCTGGGGCTGAAGTAGTCTGCATTGAAGGTTGGAGGGGGGATGGAGGGAGGCAGCACACAAACAATGGCCAGCCATGAGTCACGAGGACAGGGGGCGCGGTGCGGTGCAGCACCCTCGCCGCGCAGCTGCAGGTGCTTCAAAGCAAGCCATGTCGTCCGGGCGCCCAGCCTGGGCCCTGCTCACCTACAGAGTCTAGCCAGGAGCCGCCGTCGTGCCCCCCCACCAGCACAATCTCGCCTTTCGGCATAGCCATGCTCGGCTCCGCCGGAGCGCCAACCAGCGGCGCCGAGGCGGGCATGTGTGCCGGCATCGGCAGTGGCAGCGGCAGTGGCATGGCCGCCCCGGAAGCTGCCTGCGCCTCTTCGGGCCCCGTGGCTGCTGCGGCCGCCGCTGCCTGATCGCCGGACGAATAGGAGACCGCAAAACCGCTGTCATCTTCCTGCTGCTGCTGCCGCTGTTGCTGCTGCTGCTTTTCTTGTGCTGCTTCATCTGTCCCTCCTGCTCCCATCACGGGTGACATGGCAGGTGACATGGCGGCATCCCCTGCTCCCATGCCGCCGCCATTCAGAAGCATGGCGGCCGCGCCGGGGCTGACCACTGCAAGCGCTGCCACCGTCTGCTGCTGGAAGGCCGCAAATTCAGACTTGAAAGACAGCAGCTCGCGCCCCAGCGTCACACAAGCCGCGCGCAGCCCAGAGTTCTCTTTCTGCAGCTCCGACAGCGCCTGCGGCAGGCAGGCAGAGGCAGCGACAGGGCCAGCCCGCGGCAGCACAGGAAGTGTCAGCGAAGCGCTTGGCAGGACAGTCGCCGCCGCCCTGCAGGCTGCTACACGCCAAGCACAGGGTGGGATACCTCGGCGCGAGGCCCCTGCCAGGCAGCACACCCCTTCCCTGCCAGCATCATGCGCCACACCTTGAAGGATGCCAGCTTGGCCTCCACATCATCCCTCAGCTGCTCTAGCATCCGCCGCTCGGCGGCAAATGCTGCCAGCAGAGGGTTGTCCGCCGGCGATGCCCCTGCCTTGGGCGTGGTGCTGCCACCGCTGCCGCTGCTGCTGCCAATGGCAGCGGTCGCACCGGCGGCAGCCGTCCCAGCTACCGGAGCTGCTGCTGCGCCAGGCAGAGGCGGGAACTCTTCCGCTGGGGAGCCGGCAAGGGTTGCCGGCGGCACGCTGGGGCCGTCTTCCGTGCTGTCTGGAATGTAGCTGCTCAGAGACACCACGGGGCCCTGCAGCCTGAAGATGTTGCGCCGCTTGTGTAGGAAGAACTGGCTCTTCCACTGATTCAACGGGATGCCGGTGCCTGCAGGTGGGCGGACAGGCAGGTGGAGCGGGCGGGGCGGGCAGCAAGAGTTGGGGGCAGCGCTTCGGGCAGCATGGGTGCAGCCTGGGCAAAGGGCATGGCTGGCATGCGGTGAGGTAGCGTGCTGAACCTGCAATCAGCTTTGCACAGTTGGCCTTGATGTGGGCGTCTATCTGGTTGTAGGTGGCCACGCCTTTAGATTTCACGAACTGGAAGATTTCCTTCGTCAGCACGTCCCACCTGCGCACCGCCAGCAGTAATCAGCGACAGCAGGTGATGAGCGGCAGGGAGGGGCATGCGGCCGGGCTGATAGGGCAGCCTGGGAGCGGGGGCAGGCCACAGAAGCATGTCAAGCTCGTGCCTGTTATCAGCCAGCCGGCCAGCTGCTCAAGCCCTCACTTTTTGTAATCCTTTGCTGCCGACTGCGCTGCCGCCACACCCGGCATCACTGCTGCTGCCACTTGGTCGGTGGAGGCGGCGCCGCCACCTCCCGCGGCACTGCTACTGCCGGGAAGGCTGCCAGCCACCTGCCCCAGCAGCGGCGCCGAGGCTGCTGCTTCGCTGCTGCCTAATCTTCCACCCCCCAGGGTGGTGCCGGCAGCCGTCAGCTGCACTTGCTGCCGCCCGTCGTCTGACAGCGTGCAGAGCTGCGAGCGGCGCTCTAGAAACGGCTTCAGCCTCCCCTGCAGGCACAAAAACCGCCACAACCTCAGCACGAGCAATGCTGCCAGAAATCACCGTGCCGGCCAGCCATTCACCAGTGTTAATGGGCAAGCAGGGCAGGGCGGGGCAGGGAGCCGCACCCTCATCTGCAAGTTGAGCTTCTCGATGCAGAAGCTGCCCAGCAGCGGCAGCGTGGGCTGCACGCCGCTCCTCTGCAGCTCCACACACTGCTGCATGAGCTGCTCCTCCAGCCAGGACGGGTCTGCACCGGAGGGATGGCCCGTCAGAAAAGAGAGGCAGCAGCAGGAGTCAAGCGGGATCCAGTTGCGGCCTTGTGGCAGGCAAGCAAGCAACACAGCACATCCAAGCTTGCTTCTACCGCCTCTCCCTTGCCCTCTCTGCTTCTGCTGCTCCCCTGCCATGCCTACTGTTGATTCCCCTGCTTGCTCACCAAAGCTTTCGCCAGCAGAGGCAGGGCGCCTGGCCGCGTCTGCATTGGCCGGCGTGGACGCCGCCTCAGCGGCCGCACGCTCCCGCTCGCGTTCACGCTCCCGCTGTGCGGCAGCTGCATCTGCGGCCGCCGCCTCTGCCAGCTGCACCATGTCAGTTCCTGCCTTGCTGCAGCAGCCGGATCAGCCGAACAGGGCACAAGGTTGGTCCCACTGGAGCACACACTTCAAACCAGTGAGGCGACGCAACCGAAAAACAACAGACGCAAGGCCGGGGGTAGCAAGGGGCGCGTAACTGCCAGCGGGCCGTGCATGGGTCAGGGCAGGACTCACGCGTCTGGCACCACCACCCGCCCCAAGCACTGCTGCTGGATGAAGCGTTTGAGCTGGCCCTCGGGCGACAGCTTGCGGGAGCGCAGATACAGCCCCAGTCGGGTGAGGAGATCTGCGGGCAGGGCAGGGACATGGGCAGGCAGAGCAGTCGCGGCCACCATGTCATCACAAAAGGCAAGGTCATTGGCGGCAAGCTGCGGACGGCAGCCTGCAGGCTCACCCTTGTTGCCAGGCTTCTTCCGGAGATACTCCACAATAGCAGCGCGAATGTCCTCAGGGCTGGCCACCTCGGCTGCAGCAGCTGGCGCCGCCCGCGCTGGTGCGGAAGCGGGTGCACCACCATTGGGAGCAGTCGCAGGCCTGGTGGCCGACGGCGCTGGGCCCAGCGGCGGTGGCTCTGCCGGTTCAAGCGGCGGCGGGGCGGAGGCCAGCGTCGCCGGCTTCGGTTTGGCCATCAGGCCTGCAGCGCATCCAGCATAGCAACAGTGGGCCTTGTGCCCATCTTCCAGCGCGCAGCTGCCATCGCTGGCAGGGAAATGGCGGCAGCACACGGGAGTATGCAGAGCGCCCGCTCAGTCGCCCTGCCGCCCCGCTTACCTGGTGGCGCAGGGGCTGGGGCCTCTTCCAGGGGCGGCGGCCCTCCCTCCAGCGGAGGTGGCCCGCTGGGAGAGGGTGCTGGGGGCATGGGGGCCTCCTCCAGAGGCGGGGGAGGGGCGTCACCCATTGCTGCTGATCAGTGTTGTTCCGAGATCCAGCGCAGCTGTGCAACCCCACCGACAGTCTCGCAATGCAGAAAGGGTTCGGCGGTGCAAGGAGCGGCTACCATCGACAACATGCCTCCTGCAATGCGATGGGAGGGCAGGGCAGGACCCTGGCGTGAATGCAATGCAGTGCTGCTATATGAGGTGCTTGTGCAGGTCGAGCCGGGACATCGCCGCGCATGCCCCATCACGCCAGCGGGGCACACGCAAAATTGGAGAGCTCCCCTCTCGGCACCTCGGACACCTTAGTAACCACCGGGTGCTGAGTTTGCTGCAGAACAGAGTCCGCTACTCGCGCCAAGCGCTCCGATTCGCGTCAGCTTTGCCTGCAGGCTCGCTTATTAGCCTCAGCGCAGTGTCAGGATGACAGAGGTGGGGTGAGACGTCTCTGTGGGTTCTCCACACCGCCGACCGCCGCTGCCTGCCCCCCTTCACCATCCCTCCCCCTCCTGCCCGCAGTTCTGGGTCAGCCAGAGCAACAAATGGTGCGAGTACTGCAAGTGCTGGCTCAAGGACACCGCCCAGTCGTGGGCGGTGCACGAGCGGGGCACTGGGCACCAGGAGAATGTGGCGCGCAGTGAGTTGCCGCCAGCCTGCCGCCAGTTCCGCCAAGTGGGGTTGCCCCCCTGCTCAACCACTTGAGACTTCCAAAACGCTGCGTGGTTGCTGTTTGGCAACCGCATGGCCTGTCCCCACAAAACACAGCAGCCTCACCGTCCACCACTTGCTGCCGCCGCCCCGGTCTGATGCAGAGCTGCGCGAAATGCGGCAGAAGCAAGACAGAGATAAGCGGGACGAGGAACAGCTGGCGGCTGCAATGGACAGAGTGGAGCAGGAGGTGAGGGGCTGGCCTGGGCGCGGGGCCCGCTCGGCGTAAGCAGTTGTTGCTGGCGGACGGCTGCAATGCTGCACGCTGCTGCGTTGGCGGATGGCAGCAGTGCGAGGCGCCACATGTCCCACGCTCTTGCCTTGCCTGCACCCTGCGACAGCGCTGCCCACCCTTTGCTTTCTGCTGCGGCTGCCGGTTTCTGTGCGCCGCAGGCCCAGCGGCAGTACAAGGCAGACCGTAAGGCAGAGGAGGAGGCGGTCAAGGCGCGGCTGGGCGAGTGGGTGTTCAACGTGGAGGCAGGGTACTACTATAATGCGGTACATCGATGGTACTACGACACCAAGACACGTGGGTACTGCTGCCTGGCTGCAAGCACCTACCCAGCGCGCTGCTTCGATGCTGCCCGGGGGGCACGGGCAGGCAGGATCACGCGGCGCTTCTGTACGCCCTGCTGCCCACTCAATGCAGCTGTGCGTCGCCCCACCTCTCCTGGTCCCTCGCATGGCGTGACAAAGACCTGGCCCTGCTTTTTGTGTGCAGGCATGTACTATGGAGGGAACCCAGTGGAGTGGACCGACAAGCCCACCATGCCACATGAGGCGCGATACGAAGTCATGAACAAGCCGCCACCGGTGCCAGCAGCGCCAGCGGCAGCACGCTGCAGCAGCGGCAGCGGCCCGGCAGCGGTGGCAGGGCAGAAGTATGCGGTGGCAGGCAGCCGGGTGGTGAACAAGCATCCACTCTCAGAGGTGCGAGAGCTGCCGGGCTGCCGGGAGAGCTGTCAGCCTGGCACGTTGGGGGTGGTTTCCACCTGATGGTGGGCTGTGCACTCTGGCATCCCGTTGTACATGGCCTGGCCTGACAGAGGCACCTGCCTGGGGCTGCTGCAGGTGGGAGGCTACCAGCTGCATAGCATCCAAGGCACCATTGGCGGCGCCAAGGGCGTGGGCCATGCCTCGCGCGGCGGCAGCAGCAGCGCAGGCGCCGCAGCAGGCACAGCAGCGGACGCCAAGCGCAAGCGGGATGGCAGCGCGGCTGGTGGCAGCGGCAAGGAGCTCAGCAAGGAGGATCGGGAGTTTCTGGCAAGGCGGGAAGCGGCACGCCAGCGGGTGCAGCAGCGCACGGCGGCCAGCTTTGGTCTTACATGACGCAGGGCTGGGCGGCGTTGCAGGGATCCACAACGCACACTGCTGTGTAAAATCTGAGCAGCCTGCCCTGGTCGATCATGAAATGTTTGGTTGCAAAACAAGAGTCGTGGTGCTGGGCAGGCTCCAAAATTTGAGAATGAAAAGAGGGGAAACAAAAATGTTGGGCTGTATGCTTCGCGATGAAAAAAACTCTCGAAAAAGTGATGGGGAACAGGGACGAGTAATCGATAGGGGCAGGTCAGTTCATCGCCAGATTGGCATGCTTGGGACACAAAATTGGCAGGACGGAAGGAATGGATGGCGGTAGGGCACGCCTCTGCCGGGTGCACCCAATACCATCGAGGGGGAAAACACTCGCACAATGTGGGCAATGCCTCTCTGTGTTGAATGGTACCATGGTTCATGGGGGGTTGTGTTGGTCGTGCCGCTGAGCCTGCTGCGCGCTTGCAGCACAGCTATGCATGCGGCTCGCTCATGGTGATGAGCGGCCCGCTGCCTGCTCTCGTGACGGCCGCCTGTGCAAAGGGCGACTCGTGCTTGGGCGCGGGCTGCGGGCCAGCCGGGGACGAGGGGCCTCGCACGCTCACAGACGTGGGCTGGGGCGGGGCGCCAGCACCCATGGCCCGCGGCACACCGCGCAGCATGGCCTGCACCTCTGCCAGCACCACGTCAAACGTGGGCCGCTGCATGGGGTCGGTGTGCAGGCAGCGGTGCAGCAGCGACGCCAGCGCCTCGGGGCAGTCCGCCGGGATCACAAACGGCAGCTTGCCTGCAGGTGCAGCGGCACAGGAGACACAAGTGGCGAGGCGGCGGCGTGCCAACACCAAAACTGTGCATGCACATTCTACAATCCACGCCACGCCACCATGACAGCAGGCCATGGCCAACCTAAGCGCCCTTTGAAGCACCCCCCCCCCCCCCCCCTACCTTCGCTGATCGCCGACAGGATCTGCATGAAGGAGTAGCCCCGCCACACGCGCTTGCTGCTGTACATCTCCAGCAGGATGACGCCAAAGGAAAAGACGTCGGCGGCCTTGGTGAGCATCCCCTCCACCACCAGCTCGGGCGCAGCGTGCGTCAGCGTGCCGAAGCAGGAGCTGTAGATTTCGGTGGCATCTGGGTGGATGATCTGGGCCAGCCCAAAATCGCCCACCTGCAGCAGGGTGGAAGTTGGTTGGTTGTCGGGGAACGAAGAACCGTGGGATGGGCAGCGGTTTCTTGCTGCTGGGTCAGCTGTGCTTGCTGCTGGGTCAGCTGTGCTTGATGGGGAAAGCAAGGCAGGGTGGTGCGCAAGCAGCCGGCGACGTGGCGGACATGGGGGGCGCAGGGCTGGGCGCGGGATACCTTGCAGACCCAGCGCCGCGCGTCCCGGGAGCTGGTGGCCAGCAGCACGTTGCCCGGGGTGAGGTCGCCGTGCACGATGTCGTGGCGGTGCAGGTACAGGCACGCGCCGGCAATCTCCTGGGCGGCGGTGAGGATGGCTGGCAGGTTGGGCGCGCCGTTGGGCAGCTTGAGCACGCCGCTGTCGATGGCTTGCAGCAGCGAGCCGCGGGCACAGAACTCCTGCAGCACGGCGGGGCACCCGCATGGGGAAGGCAGGTGTGGTTGGGAAAGGGTACAAGGGTAAAAGGGTTGCACCTTAGTGCAGCGCTGTTCAAGGCGGGGGGCGTCCCTGCCCAGCGTGGCTCCTGCTTGCATGAGAATGCGCACACTCGCCTGGATGATCCACACTTGCTGCCGCCACTCCCCCGACGAGTGCACCAGCTTGGTGGTGGCGGCGTGGCAGTAGGTGGTCAGAATGTGGGGGTGGCTCAAGCTGCGCGCCAGCAGCGCCTCCACCAGGGCCGCCTCGGCCGCCGGCTTCTGGCTGCCCAGCGCATCGTCGAGGCAGGAGGCATCCCAGGGCGATGCAGGGGACAGCGCCCCGCCCGCGACGGCCTCTGGGTCGAACTTGCAGTCGATTATCTTGACGGCAACGCGGCCGCCCTGCCACTGGGCGCGGTAGCAGCGGCCCGCAGAGCCAGAGCCGATCAGGGGCCCCAGCACCACCTCACTCATCACCTCTGGACGCATGGCAAAGAAGGAGGGCAGCACGCCGCTGGAGTCGCACTGCAGCAGCAGGGCAGAGGGAGGAGTGGAGCGCAGGGCGGGCAGGCCAAGCGCCTTGGGCGTGCATGCGTGTGAGCAGCGTCCAGATGCTGGGGTTGCACCGATAGGGCAAGCCTGGCTGTCAGCCGGCCGGCCCACCTGCGACAGCAGCGGCTGGCTGAGGTCGCGCCGCATGGCACTGCCAATGCTGCCGCCTTGTGCGCTGCCCTCTCCCCGGCCTGCTTCCACAGCTGAGGGGAACCAGCCATGCATGGAGCCTGAACCGGTGCTGGAGGGGAGTCGAGCCAGGGGCACCACCTGCTTCTCAACCGCCTGCACGATCCCAAAATAGTACTGAGGCCTGCTGCTGCCATCCCTGGCGCCTCCTGCTGGCCCGCCGACGCCGCTGCTGCTGTCCACAGGCCACCCGGCCGGCACGGCGCCTGCCGGCATGGGGATGCCCCCGGCGGGCGTGCAGGCCTGCGGCTGCTCGCTGTCTGCGGGCTTGAACACCACCCGCAGCACCGGCGCCTGCCCGCTGCTGCTGGCCACGCTGCCGCTGGGCCGCACAGACAGAGCAAACTCCTGGCCCGCCACCATGGCGGCCAGTGCAGCCTGCGGGCAGTTCGGGAGGAAGGAGGGTGGACACTGCGGGTTGGAAACAGCCATGAGCAGCACAGGCCATCGCCGAGGCTGCTGTGGATGCAACCTCCCCTCCCCAGCAGCCGTCCCTTAGCTGGCCAGGGTCGGCTGGCTCACCTTGTGGGAGCCATTGGCACCGTCGCTAACATGGCCAAACACCGACCAGAAGTCGGCGGCAGAGGCGCCCTCCTCGTCGGCGCCGCCGCTGCCGCGGGTGGTGGCGCCTGCCAGCAGCTGCGGCATGCCCGCCGCCGCCCTTAAGGCGTCGTTGCAGTGCAGCATGCGCCAGCCGGCGCTAGACAGGTCCAGCAGCGCAATCCCCTCTGCAGGCAGGCAGGCAGGCAGGCAGGCACGGCGTCCTAGCACCAGCGACTTGCACGGCTGACGCACAGCAGCGGACAGCCCAGCGATATGTGTGTGCAGGCAGGGGTGCAGCCAGGCTGCTGGGCCCACCCACCGTGGAAGCCTTCGATGGCTCGCCGCAGGCGCGTGTCTGCCGCCTGCTGCTGCCACTGCAGGGCCTGCAACAGCGCAGCCCGGAGCAGGCAAGGCGTCAGGGGACGACCAGAAACTGCTGCCAACCCACTGCCTGCAGCAGGCCCTGCCACAGGCTCCTTCCGCGTCGAAGGTCTAAGATCAAGTGGCCATGGCGGGTATCACAGCGTGGTACTGCGGCCAGAGCATCACTGCACGGCGGCCCTCCCAAGCTCACCAGCGCCTGCTCCAGCTCGCGCACGCAGATCTCAGAGAAGTGGCACAGCATCTGGTAGCGGTCTGGGGGGAAGGTGCGCGGGCGGAAGTCGATGACGCATAAGGTGCCGTAGCGGTGGCCGTCCACGCTGGAGACCAGCGGCGCGCCGGCATAAAACCCGACGGGTAGCTGGCCGGCCACATAGGCAGCGTCCTTGAACCTGCAGGCGGAGCGGCGGCGGGCCAGCGCGAAGCGGCGGAGTGTCGGCCTTGGTGCTGTTGAGAGGCAAGCCTAGTCCTTGCCGCCAGCAACAGGGCTTTCGTGGTCGGAGTTGCGAAGCCGCTTGCCTGGCATCCTGGGCCGCATCCTCCACCACCAGCAGCGAGGGGGCATCCAAGGCAAACAGCCAGTCGCGGGAGGAGCCGCCTCGCTGGCCGCTGCACAGCAGCTCGCCCTGGGAGGACATGAACTGCAGATTCTCGTCTATGAGGACGACAGCGGAGATGGGCGTGTCAAACAGCTGCTTCACCAGCCTGCAGAAGCGAAAGGGGGGAGCGGTGGAGGGTTGGGCGTGTGGTGCAGAGATGCACGAGACGCAAGGCGGCGCTCGCGCATGGGGATGGGCGCTTGCAGGATGGGGAGCAGATCCCTGGTGCGGCACTCCGGCACTGGCGCCACGGCCGCCTGCTCACGATGTGATGAGGTCCAATCGCGGCTCCGGGGCCTTGCCCGGCAGTCGCAGCACGCGCACCGCGGCCAGCCGCTCCTCCGTGTCGCGCGGCAAAGTGGGCAGCGGGAGCGGCGGCAGCGGCTGCGGCGGGGTCGTTGTGTTGTTGCTGGTGGTGCCATCAAAGGCTCCCAGGCTGTCTGAGCTCAGCTCCGGCGTGCCATTGCTGATGCTGCAGCCATGTGCCTGGGTGGCTGCTGCGGAGTGCAAGGGGCGTGGCTTGGCGGTGGCCGCCGGCGCGTCGGCCACCGTCTGCATCAGCAGCGGCGACCTGTCAGCTGGCATCCAGGCCACGCACAAACGGTCTGGCAACATGCGGGAACGCACCTGCTTGCTTCCGCAGGCCCCCATCCCCAAGTGGCCAATCGCGTTGCGCCCAAATGCGGGCCAACAGGCCCCTCCTCGCAAGGCCGGCAAGCTGCCTTTTGCACTGGGCTGCGTCAGGAGCGCCCAAGCCCTCGACCACTTTCAAGGCCAGACTGTCTGAACTCAGCGCAGCGTCGCCTTGGATCTTTGGAGCCTTTACACGCCGTAACGAAGGTTGAGAAGCGACAGCAGGAAGATGACCATGCCCGGACAATCGGGGACTCTGATGATCTGAAGGGGGCGATAGTCTGTTTGGGTTCCGGAGGTCAACAGGGGACTCGGCACTCCTATTCCAGCGGAAGTTTGCTTTGGATTGAATGCAGAGATCAAAGGACGACTGCTGACAGCAAGCAGTGCGTGCCTGGCTCACCCTCCCGTTACCGCCGGTTTTACCCCCGCCGGCGCCGGGGGCAGGAGGACAGTGCCTCCCAGACAGATCACATGCCGATGCATAGTGTGTAAGCCTGAAATAGTGTGAAGGATGGGGCAAGCAGGGCGCTCAAGGCGCCTTGTGTACTGTGTGTCGCCTGCGCCGGCGGCAGCCACCGCCGTTTGTCGACCACCACCATGACGCCCGCCAGAGAGCTCGAGAGGGGAGTGTGGCTGGGTAGTGTTGCTGGGGGGCAGACGGCTTGAAAACGCATTCGCACTGAAGACTGCCCTGATTCACAGTGTTCTGAATGCAGTGCAAGCAGTAAGGCACACAGCGACAGGTCTGTGCTGCGCCCGCGTGGCGCTGGCCGCTTGGCCATGGCCCTGGCTGGGCTGTTGGTATGGGGCAGTTTCACCCTGATCCCCTTGCAAGATCCCCACTGGAGGGGTCGACCCGCTGCAGCTTTGTTTGCCTTATCAGCCAAACGCTGCCCAGGTCGTGGCTCCTCAAGCGCCCCTTCTGAGCCCTGGCCCGGCCATGGCTGGCTGCTGGAGGGCAGCAGCCCTCTGCCTCCTGCCTGCCTTGCTGACCACCCTTGGAGCAGCCCAGGAGGAGCAGCAGCCGCTCCCTGAGCAACTGCTGGCGCAGTTACAGACCAGCAGAGATGTGTACACGGCGCTGGACCTGCTGCGGGCCCTCAACGACACAGCCGGGTCGCCGGTGGGGGAGGTCCTCACCCTGCAAGGTCGGCGGCTGGCGGGTGGAGCCTTGGCCTTGCGTGTGGAGAAGGTAACGCAACGCCTGGTCTCAGAAGCTTGGCACCCTGCTGCAGACGACATCTACATTCACGCCCAGGACTTGATCGCCTTCCAGGGCAGCCTGCCCATCAACGGCGGCAACCGCATAGTGGTGCTGCGCGGCGGCAAGGCGGGCGCCAGCGGCGGCAACCCGACGGTGCTGGACTGGGGGAGCTCGGTGAACGTCATGTACCACCCATCTGGCCACTCCTTCTATGCGTACAACCTCATCCTGCAGGCGCGTCCACTCTGTGGCTGGCAGGCAGCAACCCAATGCGGCGCGTGCACGCGCTCAGTTCACCTGCGCGCCCTCACCCTGCAGGGCCTGGCCCCCGCCTCCTCTGGCTACTCTGCTGGTATGAGCAAGCAGATGGTGGGCGGCATGTTCTGGCCCACCTACAGCGGCGAGCCGGGGCACATGGTGAGTACCGTTTTCAACGGCGCGCACCTCGGCACACTGCTCACCGGGAGACTGGCGGCCTGCGTCGCCTGCTGCGCCCGCTGTGCCGCCCTGACGCTGCCCTGCCCAGCGCGTGCCGCGCGTGCCTGTGCAGATGGCCTTTTGGAACACCACCATCCGCACAGTCAGCGCCTCGTGCACCGCAAACGCCACCGAGTTTCGAGCGCACGCCATGCAGCACTTGGCGGGGCGCAACGACACCGTCACCTCGCCCAGCCCCGACACCATTCTGGTCGCCCAGCAACTGAACGGCAGCATGGCAGTGCGCGACACGACCAGCGGCGATTGGGGTGCGTGGAGCTGCACGCAGGGCGCGCATTGGCTGGGAGTGCCAGTGTGCCGTGAGCCGTACACATCAGCGCACCTGCAGGCGCCTGCCCACCAGCCTCGCCGGCCCTGCGCCCCTGCTGTTTCCCCTGCTGCTGTGCAGTGGGCAATGTGCGCTGGTCCTATCAAAACACAACTCTCATCTGCTCCCTGCCGCCTACCAACCGCTCGGTCGCTCCGACAACCCTGGCAGAGGTGGCGTCGCGTGCGGCTCTGCACACAGCCTCCACGGGCATTGCTGGCACGGCAGACGAGCTGATGTACCTTCTGGGCTCCCCACAAGTGTCTCTCATCGTGCTGGGAGGTGCGTTGCGGTTTGTCGACTGCTGCATGGCTGGCTGCCAGTCATGCAGAGCGGAGCGAGCCCCGCCGTAGCCTGAGGCTCAAACCCAGCCCATCCTGGCGGCCGCCGCACTGCCGCCGCCCGCTTGCTGCAGCCCACATCTCGCTTCAGGCGGTGCACTGGCAGGCCTACTCCCTGCCCATCGTGCTGCGCCGCAATGTGTCCTTGGAATCCAACGACGAGCAGCTGAAAGGCGAGGCCAGCAAGAGGACCTCACCTATTGGAAAGTGCTCTGAAGCAGCTCAACCGCCGCTGGTGGCAGCGCTGTACCGTGATCCTGCATGAATGAAACCGGCGGGAGCCTGAATTTGGTCCCCAGAGTGGCTGTGCAAGCCATGCTGAGTGCCCGCTGCCCTCCCCTCTGCAGTGCTGGATCTGGGAGGCAACCACCAGCTGCTGCAGCTGTCCGCCGGCGCCGTGCTGAGCTTCACGCGAGTGCACCTGCAGGGTGGGCTGACAGCTGCGCCGCTGCCAACCAAAGCCTGTTGTGACCCAGCAGCGACTGTGCCCCTCACTGGAAGGACTCTTCCCAAACCTGCAGGCACCGCTGCCCCATCTGCCGTCATCAGCAACCGAGCCACCTCCATCCCCGGCTCGCCCCTGTGGCCGTCTGTGGATGGCGATGCGGGGCACGAAGTGCGGCTGCTGGACTGCGTGATGCATGCCATCGTGAACCCCTGCAGCCGCAACTCGACACGCATCACAGTGGAGCTTCTGCGCAAGGTGGGCACCCGGCGGCGGGGTTGTTGCCACGCCGCAGTCCCGCTGGCAAGAGGTGGCTGTGTGTGCGTTGGCTTCAAGCTCATGCCGGGCTGCTGCCTGTGTGCCTGCATGGCCTGCAGGTGCTGGGGCATGATGGCGTGCAGGAGCTGGGCGACACAGGCTACGCCATCAGGCCCCGCTACCGCCGCCGAGCGTCCATCATCAACAGTACTGACCAGGATGAAGGTGCGCCCGCTGAGCAGCCTTCCCTGCCATTACACGGTTCCTTGTCTTTGAGGGAATCGGCGGCCGCGGCCGCGGCCTCATCCTTCTGCTGCCGTGCGCGGTGCCTGGTTCCGCTTGCAGTGGGCAGCGCTGTCTACACTGTGGAGAACGTGATCATGGAGTGTGAGGAGGATTCAACCATCTCCCTGGCAGCTGAGCTCAAGCGCAGCGCAGCCATCATGGCAGCCTCTTCGGCGCAAGCAGCGGCCGCGGCAGGCAGCGGCGGCAAGCCTGCATGGAAGGCTGCGGCGGCCGCTGGTGCGGCGGCCGCTGGCATGGTGGCCAGCGCTGGCGGCTTCGTGCTGTGGCGCCGCCATCGGCGCCGCAAGCGGGCTGCCGGGTCTGCCGCAGCGGGGCCAGGAGAAGCAGCCAAGGGCAAGTCGCCAGAAAGGGTGCCTCTCACCCCACGGGCAGCCAACATGGACCGCATGGAGTCTGGCGGCAACACTCAGGCCGCCCAGCTGGATGCTGAGCTGGATGCCGCCATCGCCACCACCGCGGCCCGCCAATGCCAGGAGCCCAGCGAGATCCCAACCGGAAGCAGCGGCAGCCCCGGGTGTGGCAGTGGAGGCCGTGGCAGTGCAAGCGAGGGTAGGGAGCTGGCGCGGTGGCGCGGTCCTGATCTGGAGGGCAGCTGGGCGCAAGACAAGCTGTGGCGCACCAGGTACGCTGCTTGGCACTGCCGGATTTGAGCTGCAAACTGCTGGACCTGAAGGATGAACGCACGCCTGCCGCAGGTTTGGCGTGCTGGAGGGCTTGGAGATTGCAGAGCTGCTGGGCAGGGGAGGTAGGCACCTGCTGTTGCTGCAGTACTGCACCCATCTTGGCTGCGCTGATAGTTACTGTCAATGCCGTCTGCAGGCTACGGCAAGGTGTACAAGGGGCGCTGGAACGGCGCCATCGTGGCGGTGAAGGTGGTGGAGCACCGCGTCGCGGCGGGGACTGATGGCAGCCTGTCTCGCGAGCCGCTGCTGTGGTGAGTAGCAGGGCAATCGTGTGTTCATTCCCAGTGCAAAAGGAGAGCATCTCAATCTTATCTGGCTGTCTTTGCCACCTGCAGCATGAGCGTGTCCCACCCCAACTGCATCACCACCTACAAGCTCTCGGTCATCCGCCTGCTGCGGGGGGATGACTTGCTGGAGTCTGAGGACTCGGCAGGGGGTGGCCGCCTCTCGGATGACAGCGAGTGCACAGATGACACAGCACGCACAGGCACCGGTGGTCAGAGCAGCGCCAGCGGCCGCCGCGTGCGCTCGCTGCTGTCTGGCGCGGAGGCTGTGGAGGTGAAGGATCCCTATGGCCAGCTGCAGCCGGGGCTGTACGAGACATGGATCGTCTCAGAGGCAAGTCGGGAGCTGTGCTGCATGGGTGGTGCAATGTGAGGGTTTGCCCTGTCGGTCTTGGCCAGCTGGTGCAGGCTGCCGCTGGGCCTCGCTCACACATTCTTCTTCTGCCATTCGCTGTCCACTTGCTCTACTGCAGTATTGCGACCGCGGCACTCTGGTGGAGGCCCTGGATGAGAAGAAGCTGCGCCTGCCAGACGGCAGCCCCAACATGGTGTGCTGCCAGGGGGGTGCCCGGTGAACTTCCAAAGCCATGAGCTACCAGCATCATCGAATATCCACCGCCGCCTGTCCCTGCAGGTGTCTGTCTACCTGTGCCTGCTGGACATCGCCAGCGGCATGCAATATCTGCACTCGCTGGGCATCATGCACAGCGGTGGGGTAGGCAGCAAGATGGGAGGTTTGCGCATCAAGGTGGTGACTCACAAGGCTCGGAGCCATCAGCGCAGTGTCTTCAATGCCGCTTCCTCCTGCCCGCCTGCTCGCACACCTGCAGACCTCAAGCCCGCCAACGTGCTGCTGAAGGGCGCCCGCAACAGCAAGCGCGGCTTCATTTGCAAGCTGGCCGACTTTGGGCTGAGCAGGTGGGTGGGTGTTGGCTGGCTGTTGTTGGCTGCTGCTGGCACGAAGCCGCTGCTGCTGAGGTTCAGGGGCTCATTGTTCTGCGAGCCTTCCTTTTCCGGCTGCAGGATGCTGGACGGCTGCGCCACGCATGTGGAGACGGGCAGCCTGGGCACGCCCACCCACGCTGCCCCCGAGCTGCTCAGGGAGGGGCACCTGTCCCCTGCGGCAGATGTGTTTGCTTTTGGCGTGCTGGGTGAGCAGCAGCAGCGCCTGCGCCGTCATCTTTGCTGCGCCAGCCTCTCTGCAAATTTGAGCACCTGCCACTGCCTTGTCTCCTCTGTCCACCACTGCAGCCTGGGAGCTGGTGGCCGGGGAGGAGGCGTATCGCGGCATGCACCCCATGCACATCATCCTGCAGGTCACGCAGCAGGGCACTCGCCCGCCGCCGCTGCCCGACTGCCCGCCGCCGCTGGCGCAGCTGATGCAGCGCTGCTGGGAGGAGGAGCCGGCGGACAGGTCTGTTGGCCTGGCAAATGCGTGGCTGCTTGTATGGACACCTTCCAGAACTGCAGGTCTTGGCATCATGCACTTCTCGTTTGCGTCTCTTCCTACCTTGCAGGCCGTCGTTTGCAGACCTGCTGCCAGAACTGAGCGAGCAGCTGCAGGCTTTCAGGCAGGAGAAGGTCGTTCATTTAGTTGGGAGCTCTATCAGCTCTTCTAGCCCACTAAACAGTCAGGCGACACTGATCAGTCAAACCAGCACGGCGGGCAGCACCACTCCGCTGCTGCCTGCAGCATCGGTCCCTGGTGCAGAGCCGAAGCCCGGCGCCTGACTGAAAAGCTCTTCGAATCAATCAACGCCATCTAGCAAATTGCACCCGCTTCAATTCTCCAAATCATTCAACCAGCATGCAGCACAATCTTTCAGACCAACCGCAGGACAGGAGTACTTTTTGTTTTGCATTCTCAAGTACCTTGGTGTCATTCTTGTATTCCTTGCCCATGCTCCGGCATTTCAATCTTCTTTCACCACTTCGATCTTTGCAAGCCTGCTGAAATTCACCCTCACGTCTGCATCATTTACTGCACGCTGTAATGCCAGTCAGGCAGAGACACGCAGGTCATGTCAGCGATCTGTGGTCCTGATGAAGAGTGTAAGAGTGGCAGCTATGCAGCCTGGCCAGGTCCATCCAGCAGGGCTGGAGGACAGATGTGAAAAGCAGGGGGCATGAAAGCAGGGATGAAAATGATGCCTGGCGTTGGTGGAGCAGGTAGGCCTCCCGGTAAGGATGTGCCCCATGATGGGCATGATGGCCCCCCACCTGGAGGGTCATTGGGGACATCATCCTCAATCATGCATCATTCTCCCTCCCGTTTGTTCTGTTGGCATCCCAGCAACCGTAATACGCTTTTCCAACGAACTCAACCCCCATGAGCACACATGAGCATGGTGCCCAGTCCGGCAGCAAGGCTCTAGGTCCAACGCCGCTATTGAGCGGTGCAGCTAACCAAGCTAAGCAGCTGAAGTCGCGCTTCAACTCGTGGGAAAGGTTTTGTGAAGCACATCCACAGGCGCGCGTCGCCATCGCCGTTCAGTCAGGCTACTCCCACGAGATCAAGTTCTTTTGCCATTCCATCGTGTTCTGGGAGGAGTTCAAGGACTTCTTCACTGAGCGGTGCGCCGCCGCCGGCAGCCGCTCCGAGCGGTCGCGGCTGAAGGGCGAGCTGGGCAAAGCAGGCATTGATTTCAGCAAGTTTCTGGCTTTGGCAATAGACCTGTGGAAGGCAGAAGGTGTTATCTCTCAGTTACAGGCAGATGTCATGATCAAGCTGGCAACGGGCACTGCATTCGACACGGATGGTA